CAGGCCGACTGAAGGCCCGGTACGGGCGGACCAGTCATATTGTGGACTCAGAGAGTGGACCAGGTGAGTTGAAGGCCCGGTGCGGGCGGACCAACCACATTGCAGACTCGATGTATGTTGCTAGACTCAGAGGGTGGACCAGGTGGACTGAAGACCCGGTGCGGCGGACCAGTCACACAGTAGACCCAAAGTGCATGGTTGTTCTATTTATGATATGATATGTTATGAGTATGGTATATGTGGTTGGTATTTTGGGGGTAACTCACTAAGCTTTCGGGCTTACAGTTTTCAGTGTATTGTTTTAGGTACTTCATGAGATCGTGGCAAGGCGAAGGCGTGATCGTACCGCTCCTCATGTTTTATGCATTTATGATCCGATTCTGGGAAAATCTCTGATAATAAATGAATTGAAAACCTTTTTGTAATGAATTAATGAATATGAGTTGTTTTTGAAAAGTTTAAAATTGGTTCAAATTTTTTGGATGTTACACTTGTGACATGATATATACATATATATATATATATATATATATATATATATATATATATATATATACATAGAGAGAGAGAGAGAGATGTAAACACCTCTATACAAGGTGCGTTCCATACCACTTGTAGAGGTGTGCTTGAGAGATGATGTTCATAGTGATTAGTGAGTGAGGTATTTATGGAGTTCTATATCTAGTACCTTTTTTATACTCATCTACTATGATCAAATATACCTTTTAGCACCCAAATCACAATGTTCTTTGTGTTCTTTAATTCCGCATACCAAATCAAACACTCATAATTCACATCACTGTTGACGAGCACTTCGACTTTAATTTACATTACTTTGGCTAAAAGGCAACCTATCTTCGATTCACTTTTTATTACGCATCTTGTTGTATCGGTTTGAATGTTAAACATAGATAAATCATAACTTCCTCATACGAAGTCAGATTTAGATGTTCTTTATATCCATAGGATCACCATCACGACTACTACAACTTACATTATGATTATTTATCTAGAATAATCTTTTATTTTATTTCTTAATGATAAATTTTATATTAAAGTTTTCTACAAATATTCTATACTCCTAATAATTGTACACTTAATTTGTATACGATAGTTATTTATTATCTCATAACACATATAAAAGAACAATTATTTTAATTAACGATTCCAATCGTTCGATAAAATGTATAATTACTACAATTATACTCTAAACGTCTAACCCAAAATTGTGGGCGTTAGACAAATCCAAAGATGATGTTATCATACTTTTTGTAAACTATATTCGATTTTCCACAACTTGTTCTTTTGGTGATTTTCTCTAATTCAGACCAGAATGGCCTCTACAGCCACCACAATACAGGAAACAAGTTTGTCAAGATTTCTAGTTTTGCCAAATATCACCAAACCGCACACACAAGTCATGACTAACACTTACATGACTTCTAATGATTTGAAAGTAGAGATATATAGTAAGAAAGTGATTTATACCTCGTAGAAAATATGAGATGACTCAAAGAGAATTTCTAGAAGGAAAGAACTCTAAGAACTCCACCAAAAATGCTACAATCTTCACTCATTCCCAAGATTCATCCACTCTCTTCACAAATGGAAAGCGCACTTAGGAACATCTCTAAAAGTGAGATGGAGGCTAGAAATAAGGTTTGTTAGCTGCAAATATGATGTTAATCCTGGATTTTAGGGTCATGTGTCCTTAAATACCGACCCTCCAAGTTGTGAAAATGACCCCATGACTTATATACATGATCAAAGATTGTTTTCTTACACTTTTGGTCCCCATAACTTGACGATAACAAGATAAAATTATGATTTAATGGAAAACATAACAAAACTAACATTGATGACAAGAAAGAGAAATTCGGATTGCTTCAATTTGGACAACTAGGACTATCATTTATATTTTAAATTTATATTTTTTTTGGTATTGTAATGCTTTTTTTTAAATTTAAATGTTATGGTTAATTTAAATATATGTGTTATTTAAATGACATGTTTATAAAATTATATTTATTTTTATAATTATTAAAAAAAGAAACTCAAAAAAATCAAAAAATTAAATAAGAATATGAAAATGATTTGGTGTTATAACATTGTGATAATTTTCTATAATGATGTTATAACATTATGGGTGATGTGAGATGTGAGGTGATACTTTTTTAGTGTTATAATATCATATCCATACCCACTAATTTTATATACGTTGTCACAAAGTCGGGTCTGGGTAACTTGCCCCTGATCTTTGCCCCATACAATTTTATTTATGTATTTTTTTTAAAATTTTTGGCTCATTTATAATTTTTGTTTGAGATGTATTTTTTTAAAATTATTCTTAACTTTTTTCTAACTTTATTTTTAATGTTTTTTTAAAACTTGGTTTCTATATAAAAATACTTTTTTAAAAATCTTTTTTTACGACTTTACTTTTTATGAAACTGGTTTAATAAAATTATTTTTTTACAATTTTTTATATTTTTGGTTTTTGTATGTTTTATTTTATTTTTCTGTTTTTAGCATATTCATTTTAATGAATATGGAGCTATAAAACCATCATTAATACATATTACCAGACATCATTTGTGGTCCACTTGGCAACAACTAGTAACCAAACACACCATCATAGTTGTTAGTGATCGTTTGTGATCGTGGTCTTTTATGATACCACCACATCCAATTAGATTCTATTTTTTTCTAACTCTCTCTCTCTTTTTATATTTTAAGTAATAAAAAAATACTTTTTTATTTAAATAATAAAAAATAAGAGATATATAGTGATGTGGAACGGTGGGTATACCAACCTTTAGTGCTTGTGTTTGGTGATGAGATGATAGTGATGTGACACTCACCATATTTAAGGTTAGTCGTAGATAGTCATGATAACGTAATAACATGTAAAACATCTTTTTATTTTATTTTTTCTTTTAAATATTTGTTTTCCACATACAATAAGATCGGACGGAATGGAAGCGGGAAAAAGGTGAGGAAAGCTTCCCTTACTTTGGAACACCATTACTTGGGTGAGGGAAGCAACCACGGGAAATAGGTAGGAGGAGGAGGTGTCACACTCTCTCTCTTCATGCTATTGGACATTTTTATTTTTTTTTATTTTATCGTTTTTAATATTTATAAAATTATATACCTACTAAAAAAATATAAAAAATATATCAAAATTCATGGTTTTTAATTCCCTACAAAATGAGTATAATATATGTATGAAATATATTTCAAAAAAAATAGTGAGGGGAGCTTCTCACCTATTCCTTGGGTTTTAGGTGATGGAAAGAAAAGTGAAGGAAATGATGGTGTGACCCACAAAAAGTGAGGGAAACATCTCTCACATACCCTCCAGTCTAATAAACTCTTATATATAATATATCATCTATTATACATGCATTAAAAAGCTTTTTGCCTAACAATATCACATGTGATGCCTTTCCTTTTTGAAGCTGAGAGTTCAAATCCCTCGTAGGCATATGTAAAATTAAAAAGTGGTTTATGAGTAACTTAGATTTGCTTTAAAAAAAAAAACTATTATACATTAAAAAAACCACCACCACCACCACCACCACCACCACCACCACCACCACCACCACCACCATCAGTGTATTCCATACACAACAAAAGGATAATGACTTAAAAGCTAGTATATTTTTTGATTTTTATGCATTTAGTCATTAAGGTTTTTTTTCGTCTACATTTTCACCTTTAACTTATTTAACTGTATGCATTTAGTTCTTATTACCAACTACTTTAGGTAACTCGGAAAAATAACTTAATAGGATAATATATTACTCAATTTGTATACATTTAATCATATATATATATATATATATATATATATATATATATATATATATATATATATATATATATAGTTCGTAATTTCTTTTATTGCAAAATATGTCTTTGCTGTTTTTGTACACACTCAATACTTATGAATAGTTTTTTTTTTTTAGATTTTTCTCACGACATCCAACATAGGACAATCATTAATTCGGTGTTTGGGCTATTCATGTTTATGACCACTACGACCTCGTTTGCTTGGTGTTTAAGTCTTGTGTTCTGATTTTAAAATATTTTACTTTTTAATGAGAGTAATCTAAACGAAAGTTGTGGTAGACTCAAATACGAACGTCTGTATATAATGATCGTTGAAATCCGAGATCGTATGAAGAAGTTATGACGTTCAGATTACAACAAATACAAACGTGTGAATATAAAGATCGTTAAAATCTAAGATCGTATGAAGAAATTATGACGTTCAGAACATAAGACTTAAGCAACTGAGGTCGTGGTGGCCATAATCATGAACAACCCCGAACACCTCATTAATGAATATCCCACGTAGGATGCCGTGAGAAAAACCTAAAGAAACCGATCATAATTACTGAATATATACAAAAACAATAAAGACTAATTTTACAACAAATAAAATATTAATGACTAAATGTGTAAAGAAAATATTAAAGATTAAATATATACAAAATGAAAAATATATTATCCTATTAAGTCATTTTGTCCGGTTATCTGGAGTGATCGATAATAAAAACTGAATATATACAATTAAACAAATTCAATGGATAATTGTGAACTAAAAAAACATGACGATCAAATATCTATAAATTAAAAAATATATTACCTCTAAAAAAAATATCTTGGTATTTATTTGGATTTAGCTTAAAACTATAATCAAAGGTGGTATCTGCTTTACTGTGTCGCATGTGTAATGGCACTTTGGGGGTAGAAGGGTCAAGGTCAAAGCAGGCGAAAGGCTGCCTGCCTACGAATCTATGAATCATCTGTGTGTCTGCTACTTTCATCATCGATGTGGCGAATGAATGATTCGCCACAGTGTCTCCTCGACACGTGATCATACTTGGTAAAGCTAACACAAAGGCACGTGGATTGGCTATGTCATCTTCGATTCTCCTCAATCACCATTATCACCATACAACTTGCACTTGCAATTTACAAACCCCCTAAATCTGATTATCCACTGCTTCACGTCACAATCCTCCCACGAAAACGTAGATTCTGCTCTTCGATTATATATAACTTAAAAAGAGAGAAATGACGGATAAACTGGCTGTCGGTGACGCTGGTGGCGATTGGTCGATGACGGATGGTATTGACGGTGATGATGGTTGTGGGCCGACGATGAGAAGAACTGATGCAAAGAGTTTGAGAGAGATGCAGTTGTCGATAGCGGCGTCGTCTTCGGTGTTTCCAGGGTTCAGATTTTCGCCGACTGACGATGAGTTGATTTCGTATTACTTGAAGAAGAAGCTCCAGGGATCTGATAATTGCGTTGATATCATTCCGGAGGTCGATTTCTGCCGACATGAGCCATGGGATTTACCTGGTTAGTGCTTCCTTCCTCCTAACTTGATCTCGATTTCATTTTTTGAAATTCGGAAGCACTGTATGTATTTTACCGCCAATTTTGCATTACAATTGTTCTAAAGCCCTAATTTGTTCAATCATGTCATCATTTTTGTACAAAAACATGTCTTATGATAATATGATCTTATTCTTGTGTACATATTGTCTCTAATTATGGTCACATATTCATCTTCTGCGAAATATCAATTAGATATGGGTGCAAATTACAAACAAGAGGGATTGGATTATCTTTAACATGAATGCTACATTTAGCCTATATGACACATATTCTTTCTACCTTTCTTGCAAGCTCCAATCTTGGTAGAAGGCTTTGCTTGTTTTCTACTCCTCTATATGACTTATAAGTTTTGAATACAACAACCTCGAATATAAGTTCTAAAGTTCATAAAGAACTAAATTAAGAAGTTTAAAACTCACATTTTTATGTTTCAATTCAGATGCCATAATGAATAGAAAGTCAATAGATTTAGTGGTAATCATTTAGTTCTCATCATATACACACTAATTAATTTATGATTTTATGTTATGTTTTGGCAATGATATTAGTTATATTGTCCACTGATTTTAGAACGTGGTCAATTGAATTTGATAGTAACTTGTTGTCACTAGCTATTTCCATTATTCAATCGGATAATGAGTGGTTCTTCTTTTCGACCCGAGGAAAGAAGTATCCAAACGGGTCACAAAGTAAACGGGCTACCCAATCCGGATACTGGAAAGCCACTGGAAAAGAACGAAATGTAAAATCAGGTGCGGTTACAATTGGCACTAAACGGACTCTGGTTTTTCACATGGGTCGTGCTCCTAAAGGAGAAAGAACCGAATGGATCATGCATGAATATTGTATGAATGATGCTGCACAGGTAAAGAATATTATAATCAATATATAATTCAACATTTTTATGGAGACTGAGATTGTTGTCAATAGGATAAAAATTGAAATCTTTTGTTATTTTTAGCATTTAACCCGATGATCGCACTATCGTCCATATATACAAAGCAATTTTCAGTGCTATAATTTGGTAGATTTTTCAAATTACAATCTTCTAATAAGAATACACGAAAGTAGCACACATCATCGTAAGTAAGTAGTAAGTGATTAACTAATGAATCTTGATTTTGTAGGAATCTCTAGTTGTTTGTCGACTTCGTAGAAACAGTGATTTCCGCTTAAATGAATCATCAAGAGGCTCTTCGGATAATAAAAGTCACTCGGGTACGACAAACGAGTATGCTAATAATAACCAAATGGACGGGTTTCATGACACAAACGAGACTATAAAGTCCGCTTCAAAAGAATCCACAAGCAGTTACAGGTCAGACGACCAGAATGGTTCCGGATCAGAATCTGATCCGGAAGCCAATCCCGAGTCGCCACATGGCTCTTCCACTCCATATAAGGTTTCATTTCTCTTATTCAATCCAACACCATAATTGGTGTAAACACCAACTTTGGTGTTAAAAGTTCAATGTATCATCATTTATGGTTATTCAAGTTTTTAGTATGATTAAGATAATGGTAAATTCTATGGATTTAGTTTACATAAAAGTTTAATATATATTTTTATTTTGTAAAGGATGTTGATGATTGTTTTGCGGATATAATCAACGATGACATCATCCGACTCGATGAATCCACATCACACTCTCTCAAATTCTACGGCTTCCTCACAAAAGATGAACCAATGTTAATCCAAGATCCAACAAAATGCAATCAAAAACTACCACCACAAAACATCATGACCTCTCAAGGAACCGCGGTTCGAAGAATCAAACTGAGACGCCAAAAGGGTCGAACCCACGAACCACCACCGGCTGGCGGTGGTTTAGACAAGCACCACCACCCACAGATGCCGCCATTGCAGAAGAAATCAACAGGGTGTTTTATTAGTGTATTGTCGGGCAATGCGGATACCCTAAAGGGGTCACGTTCAACACATGTGATTTTGGTTTTGTTGTTTTTGGTGATGGTGTTTGTGATTTGGAAATGTGATATGGAAGATTGGAATAGGCAGCTGAAGCATTGGCTTCGTATGACTGCTGATTATATATAAAATAAAATAAGGTTTGTATGTTTGTGTGTGTGTTGTGTGTATATAGAAGGTTTTTATAATATGGTGTAAACTTAGTGGTGGATCATATATGATGTGGCTTTCAACCTCTATACGATGACGTGTTGTTTGGACACTTGGTTATATATATATATATATATATATATATATATATATATATATATATATATATATATATATATATATATATATATATATATATATATGATCGATGGTTATGTATTTCCTCCATTTTTCTTTAGTAATTAATCGATTGCTTTTTGGTATTTTTGTTTCGCTATTAGTATAGCGTCAAATATAATCATATAGGTTTTGACAAATTAGCCTTTTTCTGCATAAAAGTAAGTTTCTTGTTATTTGAAACAAAAACATAAAGAAATTAACAACCCTTTTATAAAGTTTGTGACATGTTTGTTCGAAATCCCGTAAAAAGATTGGCATATCATAAAGAAATGAAAGAGTAGAAAAATAAATGTCACGGTAGTGATTTACGTCTTTAAAATGGGTTATGATTTATATGCAGCGTTTCAAAAACCGGTTCGAACAGGCCGGTTGAACCGGTCAAACTGGAAACCGGAGATGAAGACGATTCAATTTGGACTCGTTTTATAACGATTTCTTGACCGGATTGAACCGGCTGGTTTTGGTAAAAAAACCGGTTCAACCGGCTGAATTGAACCGGAATGGACCGGGTTGAACCGGACATTCTTAGATTTTTTTGTTTGTTTTGGACTTCTTTGTTTGATTTTGACTTCTATAATGATTGTTTTTATATGTTGGATTTTATTTACGTTTATAATACTATAAATTGACAAGTTTTGTAATCAATGTATGCAAGATAATTAAAAATATATAAAAATATACAACCGGTTTAACCATCCGGTTGAACCGGAAAACGTCACCCGACCGGTTCAATTAAAAAACCGGTTTTTAAAACATTGTTTATATGGCGTTAAAATGAAATGTTGTGTCAAACGCGTTATGATTTATATGGTGTTAAAATGAAATATTGTCAAATGCGTTATTATTTATATGGTGTTAAAATGAAACATTAAGCTTTTAGGGGCTGTTTGACAGCATCTGAATTTTTAAGATCTGAAACTTTAAGACGTCTAAATTTCTAAGAGGATCTGAATTTTTAAGATCTGAATTTTTAACAAGTTGTTTGGTTGGAACATCTGAATTGTTGTGCTGAATAATGAAAATGACTATTTTGCCCTTCTATATTATTTTTTTGCTAAATTCAATACTTCTATTTTATAAAATAATTGAACATTTTATTAAATAATTATAAAGAAATATAAATACCATATAAAATCCAAATATGAACACCCTACAAAATCCAAAACATGAAAACACATACAAGTATACAACTATAACAAATATGAGCTACACATAACAACATAAATGCTATAATTGGAAGAACTCTATCAACAAACACCATATGCACCACCACCATAACTTCTTGAAGAACTCTTTCAACAACATTTTCTTTGACAAATGAGATGATATGCAATCCCTTGATACGAATATTTCAAGTATGAAAATCACATCAGATTAAAATTCAAATATAACCTAACAAATAACAATAACTTTGATGAACAGTGGCTACAATATATGGGATGGGATCGACAAAACGAAACCAAAATTTTTTGATGGTGGGAGCAACACCAATCAAAGGCAAACCAACCAAATCCAAGCTTAAATTAGTCTGTATCGATCCATAAAAATGCTTATTTTCACCATTGTGCTTGAATGCTTGTTTGGGATTGGGGTTGAACCGTAACAATCGAGTTTTACGAAAAAAACATACCAAGAGTTGTGTTGTCGATGAGGGACCTGGAGGGCTTCTCTTCCGGTAGCGATGGTGGTACTGGCGGAGGCGATGGCCTACTGATGGCGGAAGAGCCGGCCAGCTGGTTCCAGATCGAAGATGGAGTGGTGAGGGAGCGCCGTGTATATTGAAAGAGAAGACGGAAAAATCAAGGGCAAACCTGCAGAAGATGCTGGAGGCGATGCAACTGGTGTCGGAGACAGCGGTGGCACAGGCGAAGCCCCCGACGGCGCCGACAGAGGTGATTGGAGTTGCACCAGCTTGGGGGTGGAGGAGAGGCGTCGATGATGGTTGAGAGGGAAAAAGAGGTTGTGTCGTGAAATAGAAGGGAATTCGTTTTGGGCAAAACAGGAAACGTGTCCCTTTATTTTTTTCAGATACAATCACATGTCTGAGAAATTAAGAGGTATTTTTTAATTTAAGAGGCAAAAAATATGATCCTATCAAACAGTCTACATCTGAATTTTTAAAAGCTTGCCTCTTAATTTTTCAATTAAGAGGTAAACAAACAACCCTAGTTAACCTATGGACAGACGTCGGCATTTATTATGTCTAACAATCTAAAGATTTTGCGTCTATATATATGGTCTCTTTGTAAAATACCTAATCAATAAGATATTTTAACTATCAATCCGTTCTTTATTTATATGGTTTTAGAGTGAGGTTTTGTGTTGGGCATATTGTAAGTGTCGAAATTTATGTTCAAGTTAAAACCACTATTTCACACCAAAGTTTCTGGTCATGTCAAATCATTATTCATCGAGCACCATTCATCAAGTATCAACAGTTGATTTATGGTATTTTTTCGATTTTAAGTTTTATTATTAGGTCATCCGTAATACCCACCAATAAACATTACAGTCGTGGGTGTCCCTCCATCACAACATCCAACCATTAAACCTATGAGATATTCATTACTACATGGGATAATGACTTAAAATGATAACATATTATTGGTTTTATACATATTTAGTTACTGACTTTTTTTTATCCATATTTTCCCCTTGAACTTGTTGTTGTGTGTACATTAAATCCTTATTATCGGTTGATGCCATATTTGCTGACATGGCTACCTATGTGGTCACTCATTAAAGAAAACACTCCTACGTGGATCATCTTTGAGTTCCATCGATTATAATACGATGCCTAGCCCCAAATTCAATCAAAAAAAACTTTCGAAACCATACCTAAAATCAAAGAAGAAGATGTCGACTCCCAGTTCATCTGGTTCCATCGCAGAGAAAGAGGAGTTTTGTGATTGTCGACTCCCGGTTCGAATATGCATCCTAACAAAAAGTTCAAAGTTTGCCCCAATTCTCTAGTATGTCGATCTTGATTTCCCTCTGTACATTTGATTTTCCTTCTAATAAATAATGGTATTGCGCTTCTTACCATCTTTATATTTGATTTCGAAGAAACCAGGTAAAAAGTGTAAATATTGGGAATGGATTGATGAACCTGTGACTGGGAATCCAGATTTAGAACAAGAACTTGAAGTGGTTAGAGAGGATGTTGCATGTTTGAAGAAAGAAGTTCAAGGGCTGAAGAATAAAGCACATAGTTATAGGGTTGAACTCAGTTGTAATATTATCTAAAAAGAGTTGAATGGAGTTTGATATGATGTATTGAATTTTGGTAGTTTGAATGTATTGAATGGTTTATATTGAATGTATTGAATGGAGTTTGCATATTAAATGAAATGTTACATGGTACATATTTGAATGTAACTTACATTGAATTTGGCTACAATATCAACAACCAAAAGACAAGGACATTGATAATTTGTAACGACCGAAAAATCCAACCAATTTAAATTTTTCAAAAACAATCCGATTTCATTAAATTATTACAAAAAGGTTTTCAATACATTATTTATCATAATATTCCCAGGTCCATTTCATAAAACATAAACGCGAGGAACGGTACGATCACACCTTTTCCTTGCCACAATCTCCTGAAGAACCTAAAAAACATTAAACCACAACTGTAAGCTCGAAAGCTTAGTGAGATACCCCCAAAATACCAACCACATATACGCCCTTCCAGGCTACGACCTTCCGGTCCAAAACATATTGCCTTCCGGCCCATAGCATAAAAGCATACATAACATAACAGAACATAGAACAACCATGCATATCGGGTTTACTGTGTGACTGGTCCGCCGTATCGGGCCTTCAGTCCACCGGATCCACCCTCCGAGTCTAGTCATGTCCTGCGAGTCTACAATGTGGTTGGTCCGCCCGCACCGAGCCTTCAACCCACGTGGTCCACTCTCTGAGTCTACAATATGATTGGTCCGCCCGCATCGGGCCTTCAGTCGGCCTGGTCCACTCTCCGAGCCTCGACACGTCTGGTCCGCCCTCATGGGGCCTACAGCCTATCCGGACCGCTCGATGGGCCTTTGGAACAACCGGTCTGCCCTGGGTATCTTGGCCTACAACACAAAGCAGGACCCGCCTCAACCCATCTCTAGTCCATGTGCACATAACATACAATCATATAACAGTCATAGTCAACAAACCGATCAAGCATATCACATAACATATCATTGCCCTAACCAGGTTACCGACCTAACCGGTCACGAGCATAGCGTCACTCTACATATCGGGAAACTGACCTTAATCAGGTCTCTAGCATATACCATCCTAGCTACCAGGATGCAGACATGTCAAGAAATAACATAACAACCATATCCGAATCACAATCCAATAAAGGGCCGACCTTGGTGCCTTAGACCCTGTTGATATAGTGAGGATAACTCACCTCGAACTGCTGGCTGAAAGGATAAGATCCCGCTGCTCCAAACTCCAACACGAACTCCTCCACTGAACACCAAAACACTCAACTCAATAAATACCCTTAATTACCAAAATACCCTTGGACGACAACTGGTCAACCTTGGACAAAGTCAAAGTCAACCCCTGACTGACTCTACTCGCCGAGTCAACCCGATGACTCGCCGAGTCCCTATGCTCAGAACTTCCCTCAATCCACGACCTAACTCGCTGAGTCACCCCGAGACTCACCGAGTCCAACAACTCTAAGTCCACTCGCACCCAACTCACCGAGTCATCCCTTGACTCACCGATTCTCGACTCAACCAGAAAATATTGGGACTCTTCGACAAGACTCGCCGAGTCCAAGAACAGACTCTCCGAGTCTAAGGCTATCTTCAACCTACTCGCGGAGTTGTTCATCCAACTCGTCGAGTTCCAGCTCATCTTCAAGCAACTCGTCGAGTCCGCCCATGTGACTCGCCGAGTACCACCGGTTTGAATCCATACAGAAGCATTCCAGGCCATGCAATTGATCCAAAACATAGATCTAGCCTCCAACAATCCATTCATCATGTAAAGTGGCAAACTTTACGTGAATCCTAAGAGATCTAGGCCTTATTCACTTTAGAGCTAGGGTTTGGGACATGATGGCTTCACTAAGCACTCAAACACAGGAACTTTAATGCACTCTAGGCCTTTAATATTCCAGATCTGAGGTAGCAACCTCAGATCTAATCTCCAAACTCCAAAACATACCAAATAAACTCCCCACAAACCCCAAAATGATGAATCCATATGAGTGATAGCCCAAGAACGAGATGTTACCTCAAAAGAATGCCCCAACTACAATGAAACTCGAATCCAAGAAAAGCCCTTTGATCCAGGCCTCTTCTCCTTCAAGATTTCTTCAACAAACAACTCCTCAAGCTCCAAATGCACTCTAATCTTCTTCAGTCACGCTTTCTAGGGTTTCTGGACTTCAAGGGGGATCAAAGAGGATGGGGAGAGGATATAATGTTCTTTAAATAGGGCTCATTCCCCGGATTTAGGGTTTTCTCCACTCAGCACCTACTCGCCGAGTCCATATTTGGACTCGCCGAGTAGGCCACTTGACTCGCGACCAAAGTCGCGACCCTACTCGCCGAGTTGCCCTTTAAAATCTACACTTTTAGCCCTCAACTCTACTCTTGCTATTCCGGGATCTTACATTGAATTTGGTTGCAATTTCAACAACCAAGAGACAAGGACATGATAGAAACAAATATGATTCCCATTAGCAAATTACATATGATTCCCAATATAAAAAGAATCTTAATAAACTAATGCATTAGTACCAATAAAGATTGAAAAAGACGAAACACAATTGATATAGAATACCATATCCGATTCCATTACTAAAAGACCATCAACAGTTGCTAGGTTACAAGCAAGGGTAGTATTGTTAATTACATCAAAAGTTGGGCCAATAATCAAATTTTCCTTCTAATAAATAATGGTATTGCGCTTCTTACCATCTTTATATTTGATTTCGAAGAAACCAGGTAAAAAGTGTAAGTATTGGGAATGGATTGATGAACCTGTGACTGGGAATCCGGATTTAGAACAAGAACTTGAAGTGGTTAAAGAGGATGTTGCATGTTTGAAGAAAGAATTTCAAGGGCTGAAGAATAAAGCACATAGTTATAGGGTTGAACTCAGTTGTAATATTATCTTAAAAGAGTTGAATGGAGTTTGATATGATGTATTGAATTTTGGTAGTTTGAATGTATTGAATGGTTTATATTGAATGTATTGAATGGAGTTTGCATATTAAATGAAATGTTACATGGTACATATTTGAATGTAATTTACATTGAATTTGGCTACAATTTCAACAACCAAAAGACAAGGACATTGATAATTGAATTTGGCTGCAATTTCAACAACCAAAAGACAAGGACATGATAGAAACAAATATGATTCCCATTAGAAAAGTGACATGTGATTCCCATTATAAAAAGAATCTTAATAAACTAATGCATTAGTACCAATAAAGATTGAAAAAGACCAAACACAATTGATATAGAATACCATATCCGATTCCATTACTAAAAGACCATCAAAAGTTGCTAGGTTACAAGCAAGGATAGTATTGTTAATTACATCAAAAGTTGGGCTAATAATCAAAAGAAAGTCACCATACATAGTGTACTATTACATACTTCCAAAGCAAAAGAAAACAAGTAACCCTAATCATTCTAAAGTAACTGGGTTGTCCTTATTCACTCCTTTTCCATCCTTTGGAAAAACCTGCTTCCTGATTTGTATCTTGTTTATTCTCTATGAAAGCTTCCTTGCTCTAAAACCAAGGCTCTTAGGCACTCTAACACCAAGATTCACAGGCACTTGGTTAACAGGTACTGGATTCACACTTGGTTGACAGGTACTTCATTCACAGGATCTTGATTCACATGCTATTGATTCACAGGGACATTCTCTTGAATCACAGGCTCTTGATTGACATACTCTTGAGTTATAAGATCTTGATTCACATGTGTTGGAGCAGTTGGAGCTGGAGTGCTTGGACCTGCTTGTGAAGGACAATTTTTTGCATTACTCTTCTTTCTTGCTTTATTTGGACCTGCTTCAGAAGGACCCCTCATTGGATATGTAGCTTTCTTTTGTCCAGTTTCATTACAAATTGTACATCTGCGTTGAACACCTTCCGTGCTTATAGTATGTATGGTATTCCCACTGAGTTCATTTTCTGCTTGGTCTCTTTTTCTTTTCACACATAGCCTACCTGGTAACCTCCTCCTAATAGGAGGTAGTATCTGGTGAACATTAGGCATGTGGGGCCACAATGTACTATCATTCAGGGGATGTATGGTGTACTCATAGGCCCTAAGAAATGTAGATTTAGTAAACCACTCTACAAAAACTTCCTCTGAATCAAGATTCAAAGAATATATGGCACATATGGCATGTACACAAGGAATTCCTGTCAATTGCCAACCTCTGCATCCACCTTCTCTATTCTCTAGGTCAACGATATACCTTTCATTGCCTTGCACAATTTCAAATTGTTTGTATCCACTAACATATGGATCCCAGAATCTATCACTACAAAAGTTAGTTAGCACTTGCATGTACAAAAAGTAAGTAAAACTATTTGTATCGACTAACCTTCTCAACTTCTTTAGTTTACCAAGCTTCTTTATGATAGTTGGACAGATTGCCTAATTCCAGCCCAAATCCTTCCCCTTTCTGCATGTAAAATCTCTCCATCATAAACACCCTTATGTCCTCTAACATAGTGATCAATCGCTTCTTTCTAGCTTCTTCAATAACAACATTGAAGCTCTCATAAACACCATTTTCCATTGCATCACATCCCATTCCCACCTTAAAAAAAGGCCCCTGAGCAACAATTAGGGTCCCTTTTAATGAGATAATCATATTCCCCTACATCAAAGCTCTTGATCTCTTCCATTGCAAGTTCAAATTTATGAATTTTAGTTGCCTTTACAACCCTCCAAAAAGGTTTTATGTAGCACTCACCCTTAAAATTTTTATGGAAGTTAGCAAAGATGTGCCTAGCACATAACCTATGCTCCACTTCTGGACATCTTTCTTTCACAACCTCCATTATACCTTTCATTTATTTGGAATGTTAGTTTATGTAGAAGGTAATTTGTGTATATGTAGCTTGAGTCCGTATGACACCAATGTGATTCCATCACCATTTCCCCTTTCATCTATGTCTTCTATTAGATTGTCCAAGAACCACTTCCATGTACTCTTGTTCTCAACATTCACTACTGCCCAAGCTATTGGGTATATGTTATTTTTTCCAGCTATTGGGTATATGTTATTTTTTCCATCCTTACCTACTGCTGAGAGGAGCTCCTATTTACATATGTCCTTCAAAAAACATCCACCTATCCCAATAACCTTCCTACACCTGTCTAACCAGTTATCAACCAATCCTTTAAAACTCACATAAAGCCTTTCAAACACTACAGTAGAATTTCGTTGGGGCTGCGCATACACTTCAACATGAGATCCTAGGTTGGCTCTTTTAATTTCAGCTCCATATTCCCACAGCTTGGAATAATGATCCTTCAAATTACCCTCAATTTCACATAATGCAATGGGAAATACCAAATGAAAGAATGGTCCTGTTACCTCCTAAGTAGAAGTAGTTATTCATGTACCCCTTTGCATTTTATGTCCAATTATGTAGTAGTTATGGGTTAATCTTTAATGAAATGAAAATGAATGTGTTTTCTTATTTCATGTTTTCTGTTCATTACTGAAACAACATACATTAAAGGAGTAACAAGACAGACATAAAAAACAAACAACATAACTAACGAACATTCTACATATAATCTTATTTAACTAACATGCATATTAAAAAAAGGGACATTCTTAAAAAGATTCCATGATTCCCCATGCATAAACTCGCAACCATCAGATTTGAAATGGTATAGCTCCATGGTCACCTGTTTGAGAATGTCTTCATCCCTATTTGGATGTTCATTATCCAGTTCGTTATAAATATGTTGAAAATGCTTGACCCCTTTTTTTCAAATCCAGAAACTTGGATTTGACATTTCTTCTTCTTCAATATTGAGTATGACCCATTTGATGGTGAAACAAATAACAGACACGAGACCAAAATGATACGTTGCAAACTTCTAGTGGACCCGGTGGAAAATCCTCATATACAGTTACGATCCAAGCATGAACCAAAGCAACCTCCTCTTCGATGTTCCATCTAAATGGTACAGGTGAGTCCATAGTTGCAAGCTAAAATTGTAATGTGATACGATTAATATGGATATGAACAATTATTTATAGTGGCCCCTTTTTATAACTCAGATTGTGTTATCAAGTCAAATAGTTGTGTGTTGTATTGTCACTCAGTGCAATGTCTTGTCAACTCAAACAATCATTTATTATACACTTCATTCTTCAGTTAATTTGGATAATGAGTTGCAGAAAAATTAAAAAATTTGACTGCGATTTTGTGTAAAAACTACTACAAATTTACTTTCACTGAAAAATTGTTTTACTTAAAGATATATTAGTTCTACATATATTACTTTTGGCGGATTACGCCTGTTTGATTTACGAGGAGGCATCTTTCAACTATAAGTTATAAAGATGAAGATAATTGTAAGTATTCAATAGTGAGTATAATGAGAGTATTCCTTGAACTAATTCACCATAGTTCAACATGTAATTGTTTGCAATAGAGATCTACCACTAGAAAGATGAAAGAATTTGGATTGAGATTTCCCAAGAGGATTAGATGTCTATCAATATCATTGGTATTATCAGTGTTGTAAAACTCGCCGAGTTGGTCGATTACTCCTCCAAGTACTCGCTATTCCGCCCCTTACCGAGGCGAGTTACAGAATCCCGAGTACTCCCTGGTCGACCCCTTAATGAAGTGAGTAGTGTTATAAAACTGGCTCAACTCGATGATCAATATATAAAATAAACTTCACGATTCATTATTTAACACACACAAATGTGATTATTACTACATATATGTCTTAAATTTTCAGTAATTATTCACAAAGTGAGACCATTATGTAGTTTTCAGTTTTTATGTATTCACATGTATCTAATTTTGCTATATATTTCAATCAACATAAGATTTTAACTTATGATTTTGACATATACAAGTATCCTAAAAATAGCTCAACATGAATTACCGAATCCGAGTCCTCCCCGAGTACTCCCGAGTATTCCTGAGTACTCGCTACCCAGTAGTCGTCCGAACAGGTACCGAGTAACGAGTTCTACGACCTTGGGTATTATAGATGTATAGAGTTCGGGAAAATTGACCTTGTAATAGGTCTACAACATACCAATATAGAGAAAACTTTGGCAGCACAAAGACCTAACAAAACTTGAAAGTTCAAGGTCTAAACATTAGTAGGAAAATAATACTAGAATCTAAAAGTAGACTTAATCTATATCCAAAAGAGAGAGTTGAGTATGCCCTACTCGCGAGGAGTGTTTTTCTGGTTAATACTAGATTTTGCCCTGGATTCAGCCAATTGGCATTCTGTTTCCCACACACGCCTTTCCAATGCAACTTGACTCTGTTAAAGCTCTTTAACTTCGGATCGGCTAACATTCAGTTCCATCTGTAGTGCATCGGTATGAGTCCTTGTTAACTCCTGATCATCGTTCATATGGCCGAGACGAACTGTGTTGACTCCTGAGTTTTCCCTAATTTCCATGACTTGATCGATGGTTGCTCTTCCTTGTTTAGCATTACGATCAACACGACAAACCAAGATAAGGAGGATTCTGTCAGCAGAGCCTCCCTCGCTAAAGTTGTAGAAGCTCCGGTCCCCATTATAAGAAGGTGGTTGTCCCTGTTCGTGGCTCCACCTTCCCAAGTTTACTGCCCACAGAGGCGCCGGGCCTTGAAAATCCTGCCGAGGGTTAGGATTTTTGGCAACTTGAGGTGGATTATAGACCTCTGGTTCCGAGTCGGAGTCTTCCTGAACTTCCTCTTTGTTCTCTTCTTCAGAAATCTCCTTGAGGTCTTCTTCTTCTAGGAATACCGGGTCATCTTCTTCTTGTTCAGCTTCAATCCAACCACCGCTCCCTTGATCGAGAAAGTACGGGTCTCCAGCAGATGAAATCCAACCATGATATCTAAGCGATAATAGGGGTGTAAGAGACATATAATAGATGTATTACTAAATATATTTATAGGATGATCCTTGCCATTACTTCAATACTTACATAGTGCATACCAGTCATATATAACTTAAGATAGAATAAACCTTCGAATAAGTGATCCAACTCTAAGACCACAACCAAACAAGGAACAAGTAGTAAAGCGAAGTTCACAGATTCTAAGTCTATAACATCTTAGTCACATATAACCTTAGCGCATCCACTCAACAACTATTGACCTACTAGTAAGGGTCTTTTTAGTTTTCACATACATAATTATAGTACTACAAAATACTCCTATAGTATTTTAAGTTTATGTTATGTTCTAGTGTTTCTTTGTAGTAGGGTTGGTAAGTTTTTAGACTTATTGAAACACCACAACCATTCCTTTGCTAATCACTTCTCGGATAGATATAGTTGATCATGTTATATCAATCCCAGACCTGATTATATATCCCCAAGCCTACTTGTGTTGTTCAACAATCGCAATACTTTTGTTTTGTTCTAGTATGAAACTGTTCTTAGTGTGAATGCATGCAAGTATACTTTAGTAAAATATTTTATTATTTATAACGTATAACTCTTAGTTAGAGTTTTTTTAATCCCATTGTATTTATAGTTGTATATCTTTTATGGGCTGATATACTTAGTTCATTATAAACAACGCTCTGATACCAATCTGTTAAACCTCCAAACCGGAACGGCGGAAACGTTCGGGGGCGGAGGACGTCATGTACAGTATCATAACAATGCATAGTAGTAAAACAAGTAACAACATCCAATGCATTAAAAATATAGTTAATACATGTGTGTTCTGTGTATAGTTGTATGACACCAAAAATGTATAACAAAATAAAAGACGAGTCTTAAACGTGCTCCGTCTTCCCAAAACCTGATCCAGTGTACCTGTCTACTTGTTCCCTGAGAATACAAGTTATTTTGAAAGAGAGTATCAACATTTAAGTTGATGAGTTCATAAGTATTTTAGTATTAAGTGTTTGCATTTGTTTCATGAAAATGTTTGTATTTGTCCAGTGAAAATGTTTGTATACTTCCCAGAAAATCCTATATTTTCTTCTTTAAATGAAAAGTAGTCTTCTACCCAAGACCAAACCGTTTGTATGTTCTGTTCTCTTGAAAATAGTGTAAAATATATGTTTGTACTTGAAATAGTATAACGTATATGTTTTCCATATTTGTAAACCATCTTTATTAGGAAAATAGTATGCATTTCTCATGTGAGAATATCACTATATGAATGTAATGGAAAATGAAGATTTATAGTACTATCGTATAAAATACACTACTGAAGCATTAAATACCTTGAAACCAAATTGGTTAATTAAGGTTAAAATGTGATTAGGTTATAACCATGCTTGATCGACTAATATAAAACACGACATTCTTCAGGCGTAGAAAATGATATGACATTTGTCACCCGTAGACCTGCAAGTCCCACTGTAGCTAGCAGCAATGTGTGGGATGGTTAATCCCGTATAGATCTATACATAAACTCACGCTCTCCCTCCAGGAGACTATGGTTACAAAACGTGACATAGCAAGAATATTGCTATGCCGTGAAATAGTATCTCACATTTTAGTTATCTTGTTCTTGTTATAGTATGTAAGTTCCTTCTTGTTCTCGTAAATGAATAGTACGCTTTGTAATGAATAGTAATAGTATGCATGTATTGATAGAAAATAGTATGTATTGATCCTCTAAACTATACCTATTATAGTTTACTAAT